CATAGTCAGAAATTTAAATTAAAGAGGTGCAGATAACATATATAATGGCTGGCATTTAGGTTGTATATCCAATTTTAAAAACCCACTCAGCAATTTAAATTAACGACGAACAAATACATATATATATAACAAATAAGTGTCTGTCTCAGTGCTATCTCGCCTGCCTGCTGCTGCATGTCAGTGTGTGTGACCAACAGCCGTTGTCAGATTAATTTTGCAGATTTAGACAGTATCTCAGCCATTTCATCTACTTATTCGTCCTGCCCTCACTTATTTGATAATAAAATGAATTATTCCTGTAAACCGAAAGAGGCGACTAAGTGTGGACCCCCTTGCTGTGACTGTAAAATCCACTGCAGCATTGAGAGGCAACTAATTATGTGAGCAGTTCGCAGGAAATTGAGATTTTTCACATTTACCGGGCCAGATTCCCACGTGCACATGTTCCACGTTTTTGATATCTCGTCCCTTCTTTCTGGTGCTTATCTCTCGATGACTCACTTTATGTGATAGTGCATCTTGCGCAAGCATAGGTCCTCTACATATATTTAGTAGTTAAAGAGTTCTCTAGAGGGATTCTTCTCCGATTTTGGTTAACATTTGGCGGGCCGTCGTTGTGTTTCATTGGGCGAGTCGTCTTAGTGCCCTTTCGCTATAGAGCAGTTCTGATATTTAGACTATCAGCGTTCCTTGTCCGCGATGCTCTCAGCTTAATTGTTGTCTTCGGCTGTCTTTAGCCGAGGGGACTATTAGTTTTATATAATAGCTATGTTTTCAATTATAGTATATCAGTTCTATCTTCTTATAATATGATGTATATGTACATTTCACTGTTCTTTGTCACTGTGTCTTGATAAAGGAGCGGATCGTTCCGAAAATTTGACAACCTTAACTTGTCCACACTGTTGGAATTACTTCTTTGCCCCATATACACTGTACTATTTTAAGTAATTCGTATCCTACGGACATACCTCCATTAGGATCCAGTGTTATATGGGATTTTACCGTCTATATTACTTCTTTGACCAATAACAAATATATATATATATATATATATGTCATCATTTACCAAGTATCCTATGCTTGATTATCAATGTCTGCCATAGATTAGTGTTTTTTTTATTATTATTTGGAGAAATTAGTTCATTGCTTTTTCTGAAATATGCCTGATTTCCCCCCCCCCCCCCCTTTNAAATAAATATATATATGCCATCATTTACTTTGTATCCTATGCTTGATTATCAATGTCTTCCATAGATGTGTTTTTTAAAATTATTATTTGGAGAAATTAGCTCATTGCTTTTTCTGAAATATGCCGGATTTTTTTCCCCTTTGAAATGATGTCATTATGAGGATCTTAGCAACGTATTGAACATGAACTGAGGTCATTGCTGTCCAGATTGAGTTTAGAGACAGCTAGCTCTACTGAGTGTATTATCATTATGATAAGGACTATCAACGTTGCCAGCATTCCTGTTGAGGGAGATTAGTGATGGTGCGAGCAGGAGGAGGAGGTAAACTACATACCAGAGTCTACTCGGACAAATAGGATGGCACACAAGTGATTTGTCAGACTGCCTGCAGTAGTGTGGTGGGATAATTTTCAGCAAAGGTGTAATACAGTGTGCCCTACTTACATACGGCCCATCACACACACAACCTAGATAGCTGTACGGCCCATCACACACACAACCTAGATAGCTGTACGGCCCATCACACACACAACCTAGATAGCTGTACGGCCCATAACACACACAACCTAGATAGCTGTACGGCCCATAACACACACAACATAGATAGCTGTACGGCCTATCACACACACAACCTAGATAGCTGTACGGCCCATCACACACACAACATACATAGCTGTACGGCCCATCACACACACAACATACATAGCTGTACGGCCCATCACACACACAACATACATAGCTGTACGGCCCATCACACACACAACATACATAGCTGTACGGCCCATCACACACACAACATACATAGCTGTACGGCCCATCACACACACAACATAGATAGCTGTAAGGCCCATCACACACACAACATACATAGCTGTACGGTCCATCACACACACAACATACATAGCTGTACGGTCCATCACACACACAACATACATAGCTGTACGGCCCATTAAACACACAACATAGATAGCTGTACGGCCCATCACACACACAACATGTTTTGTTTTTGCAGGGCAAGATAATTATATACAGAAACGAAAATTAAACGCATCTTCAAATTGTAGGTTTAATAAAAAAAAAATGAGCATAATATATAAATTTCAGATGTAATTATTAATATTAAATATTGAGGTTACCCGAGGCTCAAATTAATTTTGGGTGAATTTTAAATTAATAGTTACTTCGCTAGAAGGTCATGATTGGTAGTAACCTACGTGAATCAAAGTTGAAATGGCTGCAGTTTTAAACCGTGTGTCCTCCTCAATTCTTCGTTGCTTCGAATTAATGAGGACATTTACTCTCCGTATTGGAATATCATTTCTTTCTTGGACAAATGCATTGGCTAACTTGGGGAGAGTGTTTTGGAGGTTACGGCGATTCTTAACTCTTCTGTCTAGTTCATCTCACAAATGCTCGACTAGGCACGAATCGGGACTGTATGGAGGCCAAACTAAATGAACGATATGTCGCAAGACGTGTGGTCTCGTGTTATCCTGCTACACGGTTTGATTATGCTGCCTAACAAAAGGCACAACAAGGGACTTAAGGATCTCACCCAGATACCATACGGCCGTTAACTTCTCATTAACGATCACCAAAGGTATCTTCAAACCATAGGGACCCCCCCCCCCCCCCCCCCCCCCCCC